ACGACGACGACGACTACTACTACTACTTTACTACTACTACATGTATTCCTACTACTACTACTACTACTACTACTACTACTACTACTACTACTACTACTACTACTACTACTACTACTACTACTACTACTACTACTACTACTACTACTACTACTACTACTACTACTACTACTACTACTACTACTACTACTACTAACTACTAACTACTATCTACAACTACAACTACAACTACTACTACTACTACTACTACTACTACTACTACTACTACTATTACTACTACTACTACTACTACTACTACTACTACTACTACTACTTCTGATACTACTACTACTACTACTACTACTACTGCTCCTCCTCCTCCTCCTCCTACTACTACTACCACTACTACTACTACTACTACTACTACTACCACTACTACTACAGCTACTACTACTACTACTACTACTACTACTACTACTACTCACTACTGCTCCTACTCACTCCTGCTCCTCCTCCTCCTCCTCATGCTCCGCCTCCTCCTCATCATCATCAGCATCATGATCAGCAGCATCATCAACATCATCATCAGCATCATCATCAGCATCATCGTCGCGGCCATCATCATCATCAGCATCATCATCAGCATCAGCATCAGCAGCATCATCATCTGCAGCATGATCATATATATCTTCGTTAGCATCGTCCTCATATGTATAATCAGCATCAGCGTCGGCATCAGCATCAGCAGCATCGGCATCAGCATCATCGTCATCATCATTGGCAACATCAGCATCGTCGTCAACATCAGCAGCATCATCATAAGCAGCATCATCATCACCATACTCATCAGCATTAGTATCAACCTCATCATCGGCAGCCTCAGCATCAACATCATCATCAGCATCACCAGCTGCATCATCATCACCATCAGCGTCACACCATCATCATCATCATCATCATCATCATCATCATCATGATCATCATCATCATCATCATCATCATAGTCGTCGTCGTCCTTCTCCTCTTCCCCTTCCTCCTCCTCCTCCTCCTCCTCCTCCTCCTCCTCACTCCTACTCCTGTTCATGCTGTTGCTCCTACTCCTCCTCCTCCTCCTTATTATTATCATCCTGGAATCGGCATCGGAAACGAAAGTCGTGTCGAGATGCACTGACACTGGCAGAACGAAGCGTCGATGTGAGGAATCACCGCTCGCTCCAAAGGAATCGAACTCGTCGACATCGAAATTCCCCAGGACCACAAGCCAAAAAACGTAGCAGACCACATGGCCGACTCCAGAGCCACTGAGACCACAAGTCTTGGCGCCTAACTTTCACTTCCGCCGCCAACCGCCGACCTTCCCCCGGCTTCCGCCGATGGACCCGCCGCCGTTTTACCTCCACGGGCTACCGCCGGAGGCAAGACCCTTCTGGTGCGCCCTACGCGGATGCAACCGCGAATTGTTTTTTGTTGACAGGGCTGTAAGTATCGGCGGGTGCACCCAACATCTAAAAACGCGGCCTCCTGTGGCGGCGGAGGCAGGCTGTTGCTGCCGACGCCGCGCTCGCTGCCGTCACCTCCCGCCGCAAGGCGAATGTGAAGGGGCCCAGGGACACACAAATTCGCCGGCCCAACGGGCCAGAGGCGTGCTAAGATCTCCGGTAGTACTTAACAATACTTCCAGTTTGCGCGCGCGGGGCGGCCCTTGGGGGGCCCCGGACGAAAAGTACCCCGGCTGACCCCAGCCGGGTCCCGGCCGGGTCCCAGGCGATCCCCAGGGGGGAAGCTATTTTTCGCCACCCCTCACGAGGATCGTTGCCTCCGAGGGGGGGCTGCAATCGACTACCCCCCCTCCCGCCCCAAGAGGGGCCCCCAAGAGCCCTCCAAGAGCCCCCCAAGAGGCCCCAGGGGAGCCCAATACGCCGCCAAGGAGCCCCAAGACGCTCCCAAGAAGCCCCCAAGAAGCCCCCAAGACGGCCCCAAGAGGCCCCAAATGGCGCTCCAGGGCCAGCGGAATGAGCTAAGCGATTAAATACACACACGCACACAAATCCCACGATCCCCCATATGTTCCGCGCCCCAAGAGGAAGGAGCTGAGACTGCCCCGGACTACTCCAGGGGCCTGCTGTGGCCAGCCAGGACTACCTGGTAGGGCTGGCTGCGCACAACCCGAAGCCTTACGCGTCGACCCTGGGGTTTGGCTCCTGACACCGCGGGGATCGTTCAGCCTTGAACGATCGATCGGCCGTTTCCGAAACGACAGATCGTTCAACATCGACCGATTCTGGGTCGCCGACGATGCTCAACGTTGAACGCCGGCGGCGAGGTCGCCGCTGGTCGATGCGACGCGAGCCTACCGTATCAACCCCTGGAGGCCCGCACCAGCAGGTTATTCAGGCGAAGGGCCACTCTCACGCGTGTGGCCGAGAAGGTGGCATCGCGCCACGTGGGGTTCTTGTGCCCCCCCGCGCCCTGCTCGGCTGCCCGCTGGCGGCGGCCTTCCGCAGCCACCAGACGAGCATGCCGACTCGGGGATTCCAAGGCTTGCGCAGCAGGAGAGGCAAATTCGGCGGAGGCTTAAGTCGGGCGTGTCCCCCTACAGGGGGATGTTCGACGAAAAATAAGAAATACCCAAACAATACTCCAAAATGGCAAACATAAATACTCAAAAAAGAATCCTCTGACTATGTTTTGACTATTTTTGAGTATCCCCCATGTAGAGGGACAGGCCCGACTTAAGCCGAGGCCTCTTCGACACCCCCAGGCCTGCAACGTCTCGAGAAGCTCGAGAGGGCCTCTGTTCGCTGCCCACGGTATCTGGAGGCCCCTGCCACACCCTGGGGCTGTCAACAAAAACTCCGGGTGAAGACCTGGCCCTCAGGAGAAGGCCCAGGCCTCTGGGGATCCCGTCCGTATCGATCGATCAACTCGAGACATCGGATGCCTGGAACTGGGGACGCCCGAAATTGATGCGGGAACAATGGGCACGACACCCAACAGCAAATGCTGCCCAACAACGACTGCGACAGCGATGCTGGGTGGGCGGCATTTTTTGCCCGGAGGGGACCACGCCCACGGCGACACCGACGGCCAAGCCTGTGCAACATGGACGGGGCCGCTGCTGCCGGCATCCTTCCCCGTTCCTCCCGCAGCTGCCTCGAGCGCCACGGGGCCGGGCGCCGACGCCCGCAGGCAGCGCTGGGCCCGGCGGCCTCACACCACCGACACGCCAACCACCTGGGGGATCTTCTGAACCGGGTCATTCTGCACCCGGGTCAGCCAGGCCTTGCAGAATCCTGGAAGATCCTGCAAGATCCTGCACCCAAGCCCGGGCCCATGCAGAGGACCCTGCAAGGCCCTGCAGGATCCTGCACCCGAGCCCGGGTCAGTGCAACCCTGGCCCTGCAGGATACTGCAAGATTGGGCGCTCTGGCTGACCCCCGTTTGCACTGACCCCCGTGTCAAGGCTCCCGACCACCGCAGCCGGCGGCTCGCCGGCCTCGGGCATGGCCCTCCGGACGACGTCGGGGTAGAGCCTCCAGACCGCCAGGGCAGACACGCAGAGGCCGCACCAGCAGGCGAAGTAGGCGTTGCCGGTGTGCAGGTACGGCGCGTCGAACGTCAGCACGCCCACGCCGCCAGCCCACAGGAGGAGCATGACCACCATGAGGATCCTCCCGATGTCCTCCTTCGATCTGGTGAGCATCATGACGAGGCAGATCGACAGGGTGCCAGCGGCCACGATCCAGGCGACGGGAAGGTTCTTGTGCTCCCAGTCGTCGAAGGTGTCGAAGAGCACCTGGACCAGCAGGGTCACGGAGGCAAGGAACAGCAAGGGCAGGAGGCGCCCATGTTCCCCGAACCTGCCCACGAAGTCCTGGAGGCTCTGGGCGTGGTCGTGGCACAGCACCGCCGAGCAGACGACCGCCAGCCATGCGCCGAAGTAGCCGTTGGTGGTGGCGGTAAACGGGTGCTCGAAGGTCATGATGCCTGTGCCGATTGTCCACCACAAGAGCAGGAAGACCGCGACGTGTGGAAGGGCTCCCTCGACCTTGCTGCCAGACCCGATCGCCATCACGATACACAGGAAAGCGCACACCACCAGGCTGATGCAGGAGCACACGAAGGCCCACGAGCACCAGCCGGAGTGGTGAGATCCCCAGCAGCCATTGTAGGTTATTGCCACGAGAACAACGGCAGAGCCCAGGGTGACGCCAAGCAAGGCTCGCGGGATGTTCCTGGTAGTGCTCTCGGCACGCTGCTGAAGCCCGAGGCCCCCCGCGGTGTCGGCCAGCTCGAACGCATAGAACAAGGCGACCCAGCAACCGAAGAAGCCGTTGCCCGTAAGCCGATAGGGAAAGTCAAAAGTAGCAACGAACCAGCCAACACTCCACCACAGGAAGAGGAATACTGCAATCAGGGTGAAGTGGTTCTTGATTTTCTCGCTCACGGACTGCACGTGGAGGAGCAGCAAGACAAACAGGCTGAAACCACTGCACACCAAGACCCAGACGACCTCGAAATGATCGACGCCATGGTGGTCGATGACATGCCAGACCGTCTGGCAGAAGACCACGAGGCTGGCCAGGGTCAGCATCGCAACACTAACCCCGCCGTTCGCGACCAGACCGTCCAGAGGAGCCTTCAGGGACGGAGAGTGCTCGACCGCCAGTAGCCACGAGAAGATCAGCGCCACCCACGAGCCAAAATAACCGTTCCCGGTCACGACGTAGGGCGCCTTCACCGTCATGAACGCGGTGCCCACCAGCCAGAGGCACGCCAGGACCGCGGCAGACACGCACATCAGCTCCTGTGCCTTTCCGCTGCTGGTCCGCGACAGGATCAGGAGGACGAGCGAGATGACAAGACTGGTCCCGCTGATCGTGAGCGCGAACACGTACCAGAAGCTGTCGTGGTAGCCGGCGCACGTCTGGCCCAGCACAACGAGGCTCCCGAGAAGCACCGCCAGCAACCGATCCATGGCGCGGACCTGCGGTTGGCTGGCACGCTCAGACCGCCGCGCGGAGGACTGCCCGAGAGATGCGGGAAGATGGCCTGAGCCCAAGGCGCGGGATGCTGCCCTGCCGTTGCAGAGCCAGTTTTTGGAACGCGCAGAGGGGCTTCCCTGTGGACCCCCTGCCGAAGACCCTGAGCCCAGGAGTCGGATTCGTCGACCCCATTTGGCTCGGCCTACATTGACTGCCACTGCAACCTCGGTCTTGGCGTCCTTGGCGTCCTGTCACGATCTGCTTGCACGTATCAGTAGTCCACGAGAGGTGCTCCGGAGACATGACCGATAGGGCAGTGCATGCCAGCTTGCTTAAAAACTCCCTCGACGCATTCTGACCTGCTCCCAGTTAGTCCCAGCAAGTCATCATACCCTTCAGGACGATGATCGATCGTCCAGACCTCAATGTGCAACTGGGCACAAGAAACCTCACTGGAGAAAAAGATTGGGCTCCGCAAAAAAAGCCCCCCAGAGGCAAACCTCATAGAAACAGACATGGTATGAAGGAACTCCTTTGCTGACTCACGTCATCCCTGACCCTGGGCGCGCGAGTAAAGGCGACCCCCTCCTCCTCCTCCTCCTCCTCCTCCTCCTCCTCCTCCTCCTACTCCCTCCTCCTCCTCTTCCTCCTCCTCCTCCTCCTCCTCCTCCTCCTCCTCCTCCTCCCCTCCTCCTCCTCCTCCTCCTATTCCTACTCCAATAGCGTCCGGACCTCGTGTCGGGAGCCGCCTCCCAGGCCCAAGCTTCTGCATGGAGAATGGCCTCCAAATAGGCTCCGAGACGCCACGGCCCAAAAGAAGGGCCCGAGGAGACCTCCCGCAGGCTCGTGGCCAGAGGCGCCTCCTGGGAGGTCAGCCCCAGGCGGGGTGATTTCGGACCGGAGGTGGTAAGAAAACTCCGCGGGCTGCAGGCTCCTGCGGAATCTGGGGAGGCCGCGGAATCCAAAGCCGAATGCCAAACCAACGATTTCACACTGGGGCAACTCACGACATCTGGCGGTGAGAGGCGACCCAGGAACCATCATCATCAGTATCATCATCATCATCATCATCATCATCATCATCATCATCATCATCATCATCATCATCATCATCATCATCACCATCACAATCACCATCACCATCACCATCACCATCACCATCATCATCATCATCGTCATCGTCATCATCAGCAGCATCATCACCGTCATCATCAGCAACATCACCAACATCAGCATCATCATCAGCAGCATCTTAATCAACATCATCATCAGCGTCACCATTACCAAAAATCATCATCAACAGTATCACCATATTCATGTTCATAGTCATGCGTGTCCTCCTCATCATCCTTATCTTCATTGTCATATCATCCCCATTATCCTCATCATCAGAATCCTCCTCATCATCGTCACCATTAGAAGCAGCATCATCGTTGGCATCGGCATCGTCATCGTAATCATCCCCGTCACTAACATCATCATCAACAACATCATCACCACCCCCACCACCGCCTCGATCCTCTTTATCACATCATCGTCCTCATCATCACCATCATCAGCTTCAGCATCAGCATCAACATAATCATCAACAACATCGTAAGTATCCTCCTCATCCTCCTCATCATCACCAGCACTACCATATTCATCGGTGTCACCATCATCCCCGTCATCAACGTCATGATCATCATCATCATCATCATCATCATCATCATCATCAACATCATCATCATCATCATCGTCACGATCGACATCACCATCAACCACCTCAGCATCACCGTCATAACAACACTCGCCGTCATAATCAGCAACAGCATCATCACCATATTACCATCATCATCATCCTCATCAACATCATCACCATGATCATCGTCATCCTCGCCATCATCCGCAGAATCGTCAACCTCACCGTCATCGCGTTCATCCTTCTCACAACCGTTTTCTCCACCTCGGCACTCGCGGCAGATGGTCGGGTCATGACCTCGCAGAGCAACCGGCTAGCAATTTACAGGGCTCCTTTGGAATTGGGTATCCTTCCAGGCCTCCCGCCTGCTGCCCCCATTATCCTCTTGCTGCCGCTGTTGCTGCGCTGCCTGCTGCACGCATCCTGCTGCGCCGTTGCTGCTGCAGCCGCTGCCAGCCGCTGCCGTTGCCGCGGCTGCTGCTGCGGATGCGGCGCTCCCGACCTCTTCGGCTGCCCCTGCTGCGCTGTCAGCCTCTGCTGACGTTGCTGCCCGTGATGCCCGCGTGTCAGCTTCAGCACACCCGTATGACACACGTCTCGTGACGCACCCAGCAGGCACATCGAAGACGGCATCTGCCTGCCAGCAGGTGCCACCGAGGAAGTGCTGTATCCCCCGGTGGCCCCTGGGACCCACAAAGCTCTGGGGCACGTTCGGACCCTCCAGGCCCGACGAAGGCCGTGCCCCAGGATCTCTGATGTCGCACTCTCTCCTCGTACGTGCCAGCTGCAGGGGGCTCCTGCCACGGCCCGAAGTGGGCGTGCCCAAGATGCTGGGCCCCCAGACTCGCCCCTGCCGCGCGCGTGGCCCCCCACTCGGAGCTCCGACCCCTGGCCCGGCGCGCGCTCACGCACACCGGGGGCGGCCAAGAGGGGGGCGCCCAAGAGGGGGGGGCGCGCAAATCATGGCCGGCGGCACGTGCGCGGCCCTCGGGAGGGGAGGCCAGGGACGCGGCGAAGTGAGAAGAGGCGCCACGAAGTCTGAGGAAACATCATGGCCCACGCCCTGACAGTCATCCGCCCCTCCCTGGTCATCACCCCCCTCTTGGCCGCCCCCGGGCACAGCGTCGCCGTGCGCCGTGCTTACTTCGGGACGCCCCCCCAAAGATCCGACGTCGTGATTTCTTCAATGCGGGGTGCCCGGAAGTCTCGACCCATACCCCAGGACCAGTTTTTCATCCTGAGGCGTTTTTTGACGGCCCCGATGCCCGGTGAGGGCCTCTAGAGGCCGAAAATACGAAAAACCTCCATCGTGATTTTTTCGATACGTTGGATCAGGCCGAAAATACGAAAAACCTCCATCGTGATTTTTCCAATACGTTGGACCTCTGGGCCTCCCACAGCTCGCGCGCTCACGGGGAGCTCCAGCTGCGGCACGGCCCCTGCGGGCGTGCCCGGAGCGGCGCGCGCGCCGTGGCCCCACACACCGAGCTCCCGCCCCTGCTCCCGCGGGCGCGCGCTCGCACCGCCTCGCCAGGTTTGCCCCTGCCCCAACAAGCCCCCTCGCATCGTGCAAACATCGCGACGTGAGGCTCTTCGCTGCTTTCGGCCTTCGGGGGCCCCTACTGACTACCTACCAGACCACCCCGACCCAACCCGAAGACCCGAATCTGACCCGAATTTCGGGTTGGGGGGGGTACGGATCCCATGTGTTTTCAACGGTCCCCGACCCCGCCCCCACTGGAAATGGAAGGCAAATTGAGGGCTTCGGGTTGGGTTGGGGTGGTTCGGTGGGTGGTGATTTACCGGTCCCCGGGGCCGTGCAAAAGAAACGGCTCAGGATGAAAAGCCGGTCCGGGCTTATGGGTCCGGACCTCCGGGGCTGGCGTCGTGAAAGATCCTGACGCGGGGGTCTGGGGTCGGCGCGCCCGTCGCGCAGATCGCGCACCAGAGCTCCACCTACGGCCCCGGTGGGAAAGCCGGCATGGCGTCACTGAGGAATCCCTGAGTAGCGACAAAAACACAGCGTCGTAGAAAATCACGCCTGGCGCCCTGGACCCCTTCTGCGTTATTTTGCGAGCCGGATCGACCTGTGAGGGCCCCAAGGCTCGAAAAAAGGCGAGAACGCCCGGCTCGAAAAAATTGCAACGCCAGGACCTCAGGGATGAAGGAGGGAGCTGGGAGCCAGGAGCCCAAAACGGGGAGCAAAGAACGGGGAAACGGGAGCTGGGGGCCGACAGCCGGGAACCGTAAGCTGGGAAACGGGAACCAAACAAGAACCCAGCCTAGAATGGGTGTGCGGGAATTGGGGAACCGGAAGAGAGGGAGAACGAAGGAGAGGGATGTAGAAAGAGACAGACAGACAGACAGACAGAGAGAGAGAGAAAACAAAAAATACAAAACAAGCAAAACAAATAAACTTGAGAGAGGAAGAGAGAGGAAAACCTACATTTGCATTCGGAGAGATCAACGCGCACACACGGAATATACGTATGAGTACACACGTAATGATGTCATCACACATGTATGTACGCATGTGATCACATTTATTCACGCGTATGTAATCGTTGTAAGAGGGAGAAAGAAATGCAGAAATAGAGAAAGAGGTAGAGAGATTGCCCGGGTTACACATCTGTATTTATGTATACAAGGTGATTTTCACCGAAATACGTTATGTATTCATCCATCGTCATAAAGCAGATGTGCGCAGTGAATGTGTTATGCCGTATACATACTACAGAAAAACACACAATCGCATATTTGCACACACGCACATGTTTCCACCAATAACAAAGTGCAGAAACAGCGATGCATCTTCATTTTCAGATGTACGGAAATATACATAGAGGGATACATTCATCATGCGCAAATGCTTTTGTGTGAGGTGTAGATGGATGGGTGTTAGCAGAAGAAAAGAGAGAGAGGGGGCGGCGAGACCGATACATACTCATGTATATACCTTATATATACATATATATATATATATACATACATACATATGTATACACACAGGGATACAGCGATGCACGTGTCCGAAAATATGTATACTTAAAACACGCGAAATAACCATACTTGTTTATATCTATACATATTGACGCGAAAGGGTCTGGATTTCTTGAAAACGCATCCTCTACCTCCGCCGGCTTCCGCGGACCCTCCGCGGGCGTCCACCGGCGGGGCCGCCGCTCATCTTTCTGGTTTCCAACGGCCTCCGCCGGCCCTCCGCCAGCTCCCGCGGAGGAAGGAAGGCCAGCCCTTCAAGGCCTCGAAGGCCAGACTCTCTCCACGGACCCCCTCGCGTCGTGAAAAAATCAC